ACAGAACATAAATCCGAGGCGAATGGGTTAAAGTCAATATGCCATTTTCTGTATACAGGTAACAGATTTTACATTTACGGAAAGGGGGAAAAATTATATGAAGGTATTACAGAATCATTGTCAAAGGAACTTTATTGATTTATTTCTTTATGGCATAAAATGGTAGAAAGACTTTATGAATCCAGTTAGGAGGAACGGAATCTCAGCAGCAACGAATGTCTTATAATTTATCATTTAATCAGCAAAAAATAAATTTTGCTTTGAAAGCAGTACAGTGAAAAAATACATTATATGTTTTTCTTTATGGAAAATATTAATCATCTATATTATGCACAAAATGTCTTTGAAAGAATTTGATTAATGCAACACAGACTGGTAGCTAAAAGAAAAAACAACAACTATATTTCGTGAATTATTATTGGCTGAATTTCAGTTAACAGAGCAAACTTTCAGAGGCGTTTTTTTCTCAAAATTGACCTTTAGGACACTGGTCCTTCCTGTACTCGGGCCAAGAATTTAGCTTTGTCTTAAAAATCCCTCAATTACCTAAAATCACTACAAAAGATCTCTTACACAATGATTTCGCACTGAAATAGAATAGTTTTTAAAGAATATAGCTAGAAATAGGCTCGTTATTCTAACTAAGGTTCGAATCTCAAACATAAATTCATAAAATCAGAATTAATAAATAAATTATAAGAAATGTTAGAAGAGTAAGTAAAGTAAAAAAACAACAACTAAAAACTAAAAATAAAAACAATAAGATAAATAATACATAAAGATCGGATTACGTTAATGAATAGGCTCTAATCACAAAACAACAACAAAAACAACAACTATATTTCGTGAATTATTATTGGCTGAATTTCAGTTAACAGAGCAAACTTTCAGAGGCGTTTTTTTCTCAAAATTGACCTTTAGGACACTGGTCCTTCCTGTACTCGGGCCAAGAATTTAGCTTTGTCTTAAAAATCCCTCAATTACCTAAAATCACTACAAAAGATCTCTTACACAATGATTTCGCACTGAAATAGAATAGTTTTTAAAGAATATAGCTAGAAATAGGCTCGTTATTCTAACTAAGGTTCGAATCTCAAACATAAATTCATAAAATCAGAATTAATAAATAAATTATAAGAAATGTTAGAAGAGTAAGTAAAGTAAAAAAACAACAACTATATTTCGTGAATTATTATTGGCTGAATTTCAGTTAACAGAACAAACTTTCAGAGGCGTTTTTTCTCAAAATTGACCTTTAGGACACTGGTCCTTCCTGTACTTGGGCCAAGAATTTAGCTTTGTCTTAAAAATCCCTCAATTACCTAAAATCACTACAAAAGATCTCTTACACAATGATTTCGCACTGAAATAGAATAGTTTTTAAAGAATATAGCTAGAAATAGGCTCGTTATTCTAACTAAGGTTCGAATCTCAAACATAAATTCATAAAATCAGAATTAATAAATAAATTATAAGAAATGTTAGAAGAGTAAGTAAAGTAAAAAAACAACAACTATATTTCGTGAATTATTATTGGCTGAATTTCAGTTAACAGAGCAAACTTTCAGAGGCGTTTTTTTCTCAAAATTGACCTTTAGGACACTGGTCCTTCCTGTACTCGGGCCAAGAATTTAGCTTTGTCTTAAAAATCCCTCAATTACCTAAAATCACTACAAAAGATCTCTTACACAATGATTTCGCACTGAAATAGAATAGTTTTTAAAGAATATAGCTAGAAATAGGCTCGTTATTCTAAGTAAGGTTCGAATCTCAAACATAAATTCATAAAATCAGAATTAATAAATAAATTATAAGAAATGTTAGAAGAGTAAGTAAAGTAAAAAAACAACAACTATATTTCGTGAATTATTATTGGCTGAATTTCAGTTAACAGAGCAAACTTTCAGAGGCGTTTTTTTCTCAAAATTGACCTTTAGGACACTGGTCCTTCCTGTACTCGGGCCAAGAATTTAGCTTTGTCTTAAAAATCCCTCAATTACCTAAAATCACTACAAAAGATCTCTTACACAATGATTTCGCACTGAAATAGAATAGTTTTTAAAGAATATAGCTAGAAATAGGCTCGTTATTCTAAGTAAGGTTCGAATCTCAAACATAAATTCATAAAATCAGAATTAATAAATAAATTATAAGAAATGTTAGAAGAGTAAGTAAAGTAAAAAAACAACAACTAAAAACTAAAAATAAAAACAATAAGATAAATAATACATAAAGATCGGATTACGTTAATGAATAGGCTCTAATCACAAAACAACAACAAAAACAACAACAACAACAAAACTATGTATAATGCACGCACACCCAAAAGCGACAAGCAAAGCCCCACAAGCACACGCAGCCGGAATCAAGCACTCTCCGTCTCACACGCAAAAGCAAGTAAGCCGTAAACAACCACTTCTCCCAAAGAAAAAATAATAAAAACAACAATACGATTTCACTGAACCAATGAATACAGAGAAAACAACAATAACATTTATAAAAAAAGAAAAGAAAAGAAGAATAAAAGATAAGGTGTTGTGAATGAAAATCTTCAAATTTAAAAGAAATTCGGACCAAGATCAGTGGTGAAGCCTGTCCATCCCGGTGAGTACAGATTGTTGGAACACGCCGGACATCTCGCACTCTCTCTCGATACTGATAATCTTCAGAATCCTTCTTTGATTTTCATTGTTCTTCTTATTATTGTTTTATCTTCAATATTCTTCTTCTTCTTCTTCTTCTGTTTCTTATTATTATCATTATTATTATTACCATAATTATTACCATTATTACTATTATCATTATCTTTATTGTTGTTACTATCATCATCATTATTATCCTCATTATCATCATTACTATCATATATATTGCCATTACAATTTTCATTATTATTAACAATTTTAAAGTTTCCATCTTTATCATTATCATTATCACAATAATAATAATAATGATAATAATAATAATAATGATGATTATGGTAATTATTATTGTTATCATAATCATTATTTTTACTATTATTTTCATTATTATTATTATTGTTAGCATCGTTATTGCCATAATAATAATGATTATTATTAATACCATTATCATCATTATCATTAATATTATTATCACTATTGTCACCATCACTATTGTTATTATTATTATCACCATTATCATTATTACTATTTCTTAAATTCTAATCATTACTATCATTAATATTGATATCATTGTCAATATTTATAAGAGTATCATTATTACCTTTATTTATGTTGTTATTGTTATTATCATTGCTGCCATTACTTCTTTGTTACTAGAATCACTATTACGAAATTTTGTTTATAATAGTGCTAATAATGACAATATTGATAATAATAATAATGATGATAATAATAATAATGATGATGATGATAATAATAATAATAATAATAATAATGATAATAATAATAATAAGTATAATCATAATAATAATGATAATAATAATAATAATAATAATAATAATGATAATGATAATAATGATAATGAAGATAATAATAATAACAATGAAAATAATAACAACAATAATAAAGAAATAATAATGATAATAAAGATTAAAATAGTAATGATGAATATTATCATCATTATCATCTTATTGTAATGAAAATGATGATAATGATAATACAATTATTTTTACTGTTACTATTACCAGTTTTATTATTATCATTATTACACTTATTATCAATATTTAGATTATTGTTATTATCATCATTGTTATTAATATTATTATCACCAATCATCATCATTATCACTACTATTGTCATAATTATTATTCATGTTATTATCGTTAACATTATCAATGATAATAATAATATTATTATTCCTTTGTTGTTGCTTCTTCTTCTTCTTCTTCTTCTTCTTCTTCTAATTGCTATTTATCTTCATTATTATTATTCGTATTTAGTTAATGTTATTGTTATTCTTCTTATTACTATTATTAACATTATTAGTATTATCGTTAAATTTACTTTTATAATTATCATAAATACTATTATTGTCAGTATTATCATTAATGCTGTTGTTATTATTATCATTGTTATTGATATTATTGTTATCGTTATTATCGATATAATGATAATGAAAATGATGATAATAAAGAGAATAATATTTATTATCATCATCATTAATATTATCATTATCAATTGTTGTTAATGCCATTATCATCATTACCATAATTGATATCATTATTACCAATATCATTTTTATTATCATTATTCTTATCGATGCTATTATCATTATTATTATTATTGTTATTATTATTATTATTATTATTATTATTATTATTATTATTCATCTTCTTCTTCTTCGTCTCTTTTTTATTATCTTTGATATGATTATTTTTTATCTTTTACTATTATTATTTTTATTATTATCGTTATCATTAACATCATCATCATTATTATCATTTAATATTATTATCATTATCGTCACAATTATTTATATCATTTTTATTATTTCTGTTATCATTACTATTGCCAATCATATTGTCATTAATATCTTCTTTTTATTATATTGTTGTCATCATCATTATTGTTATCATGATTTGATCATTATCATTATCATTATTATGATAACTATTAGCGTCATCATTATTACTGATATTATTTCATTATCATTACTATTATTAATATTGTTATTATTATTACTATTATAAATATCATTATTTCTTTTCATCATTATTGCGATTAATCATTAATAATGATCTTCATCTTCTATTGTTATCATTACCATTATTGCTATTATCATCATTATTTTCTTATCATCAGCAATATCATCTTCCACATTATTATCAATATCATTATTATTACTGCTATTATAGTCAATATTACTATTAGAAATATTATACTGAAATCTTATATTATTAAATGTTATATTATATCATTAAATATAATACTATTAAATATTACATTTCTAAATATCATATTAGATTAGAAATCTTATCAATACTGCTGTTATCATCATTATTATTCTTATGACAGTATTATTATAACAATAATCATTATCCTTATAACTGCGCTCATTATTATTATTATTATTGTTATTATCATTGTTATTATAGTTAATGCTATTATAATCAGGATCATTATCAGCATAATTATCATTGCTACTATTATTGTTATTAATATAGATCTTCATTATTATTATCATTGTCATCATTGTTATTGTTATCATTAATATTATCGTTATTACTGGTATTATTATTATTATTATTATTACTATTATTGTTATTATTATTATTACCGTTATTATGATTATGATTATGATTATTATTATTATCATTATCATTATCAAAATTATCATTACTGGTATTAGTAATGTTTAAATTTTTGTTACTTCTAATGATATTACCATGGTAATAATAATAATAATAATGATAATGATTATAAAAATGATAGTAATAGTGATGATAGTTAATAATAGTGATGATGATGACATTAAAATAATAATAATAATAACAATAATAATGATAATCATCTTCATAATAATAATGATAATAATAATAATAATAATAATTATAGTAATAATAATGATTATCATAATTAAAACAATTATTATTATCTTGATTAGTTTTCTTTATCACAATCATTATCATCATCGTTTTCTATATTTCTTCCTTCCTTCCTTCCTACTTTTAGCTATTATCATTATCGTTATCATCATCGTCATTATTGCTGTCATTATTTTTTATATAATTATTATCATCATTATCATTTTTATTATGATCATCATGCTTCTTCTTATTATTGCTATAATGATTTTATTATTATTGTTGCTGTTACTATGATTTGTCTTCTACTTATCATTCTGATTATCATTATTATCATTATTAATATTACTATAATCATTGCCATTTATTTGCTTATCGTTTACTATTATATCTATTATTATTATCATTATTGTTATTATCATTATTATTATTATTATTATTATTATCATTATCATTATTATTATTATTACTATTATTTTTATTATCATTATTATCATTATGAAAACTATTCATGTTATTATCATCATCATTATTGTTATCATCATTATTTTATGATTCTTATCATCATCATTATCATTCTTTTCATTATGATTTTTTATCATTATCAATATTCCCATTATTATCATTATTGCTTTTGTTTTTATTTGTGTTCACCTTATTGTCGTTGTTACTATTGTACTGACATTATTGTTACTTATCATTACTTATTATCATCATTATTATTATTATTATTATTATATGTCTTATTATTAATATTGAATTTATCATATTATTTTCTGTTTTATTACAACTCTAATTATCATCATTATCAATATTATTCATAGAATAATAATTTTGACAATCCATGTTATCTTTGCCATTATTATTGTTGTTGAAATTGTCATCATTAGAATTAGTATCATCGCTGTTGCCATCATCATCATTATCATCATCATCACCATTATTATCATAACTGTATATGTTTTTTTTTTCTAATTTATGAATTTTGCCAGTGTTATTATCATAACTATCATCATCATCATCATCATCATCATCATCATCATCACCATCATCATCAAGGAGACATGGGGAGATGAAGATAGTGTTTTAACAGGAAAGCAAAAGACGTAGAATGAGACGTAGAGAACGAGGAGGGGGAGAAGGAGAGAAAAAAAAAGGAAGGCAGGAATGGAGGACAGAAAACAGGAAACAGGAAAGAGGAGGGGTAGGCAGGGAGCGAAGGAATGGAGAGAGATTTTGCGAACGAACGAGAGAGAGAGAGATAGAGGGAGAGAGAGAGAGAGAGAGAGAGAGAGAGAGAGAGAGAGAGAGAGAGAGAGAGAGAGAGAGAGAGAGAGAGAGAAAGAGAGAGAGAGAGATAGAGGGAGAGAGAGAGAGAGAGAGAGAGAGAGAGAGAGAGAGAGAGAGAGAGAGAGAGAGAGAGAGAGAGAGAGAGAGAGAGAGAGAGAGAGAGCGTTTCTTCAATTAATTAAATCTCCCATGGGGGAGGCGTTCTGTGTTCGTGTATGTACTTAAGCACGTCCGAGGTTGTGTATGTGTGTACGTATCATGTCGACATATGAATATATATGTACGAACGAATGGATGTGTGTCTTTACACACAGAGAGAGAGAGAGAGAGAGAGAGAGAGAGAGAGAGAGAGAGAGAGAGAGAGAGAGAGAGAGAGAGAGAGAGAGAGAGAGAGAGAGAGAGAAATTTCGCGAACGAACGAGAGAGAGCGAATGAACGAGAGAAGGGATCGGGGAGAGGGTGCATATAATAGGGAAAAGCGTCCCGATAACGCAATCAGGAAGCGTCGCTCGCCGCTACTTCGACGAGGCTAAAAACGGGGCTGTGCGAAGAGGATAAGTCTACCTGCCTTTCTCTCTCTCTCTCTCTGTCTGTCCATTTCTCACTTCTCTCTCTCTCTGTCTGTCTGTCTCTGTCTTTCTCTCTCTCCCTTCTTTTCTTACCTTTCACTCTCTCTGTCTCTCTCTCTTTCCCTTCCATTATTGTCTCCCTATCTCTATCTGTTTATCCACCCCCCTCTCCTCTCTCTTCTCTCCCTATCTCTTCCTCTCTTTCTCCACTTTCTCTCTACACGTCTTTTCTCTTTGCCGTT